AGTTCGGATCGAAACGTTGTAATAAACATTTTGCAACTGAGTGTGCACTTCAGTGTATTTTGATATATGCATATATACGAGCGGTGTTATCTATAATGAATATCTTCCCTCGTATTTCATACCTGTATATCTATGTATTCAATTTAACAATATCTATGTATAAATATTGAAATGTGTTTCTTTTTCTTTTTTCTTTTAATAATATTTATTTATTTATTTACACTAATATTTAGAAATTTATTTATATCTATGTTATAAATATATATCTATGATACCATATATGTATCATATAGATTTACATTTATATATATATAACCATGTATGGTTATAAATAAAGTATACAGATTATAAACTATCAAGTATATATATAAACTGTAAATAGCCATGTTTATATATATATCTATATATGTAACCATGATTATATCGCCATGCATGGCTATTGATAGTTTATATAAATGAACTACAGTCTATATATACTATAGTTTATAAATTATAACGGTTATACAAAGACATAAAAAATTATATGTATAATATTAGATAAATACTCAGATATATACACATAACACTTGTTTGTTGAATTTCCAATTGGAAATCACATTATTTTAAAGTAATCTGATTTTTCATTTCAATCTACAGTTTAGAATTATGTGCTTATGTTAAGTTAAATGCATTGTTGAAAAATTAGTTTATACATCACTCTATATGCATAACTAAATAATTATTTATATACTGCTCTTATTAGTAGGATCACCTGATTTTGGGACCAATAAACTAACTTAGATTAGTTTATAAGACATTTGGGAATGATATGTGACAGAAATTTGAACACGAAAATTTTTTAATTATGGAAACATTTAACCTTTATTATAGAGCACTTAACATATTGAATGCTTATGTTAATCATAATTAACATGGTAGACCTGATCGAGTCAAAGCCCCCCCGTACTAAACTCGCAATATTAAACTGATTACTCATAACCAGAATGATCACGCTAATTTTCCATTTCGACGTATAAAAGACGAGAATCCGTTTATAAAAATGTATTAAAAATAATAAGAGCAGAATATCAATATTCGCATTAAACGATGGGATAACGCTCACTAATGCACTGCAAAAAGGTTTCAATGTCCGTTTCAATGTTAGAAGGAGAAAAGTGAAACCAGTAGCGATACTGAACTTCGTCCAGATGTTTCCACTTCCTATCCCCAACGGAGCCGGAAACTGCCTTCGGTCTCCTTTATCCGGCTCCAGTAGCCTTCCACGATGTTGGCGTGATGAATCCAACAGTAGCGAAAAAGAAGTCCATCGAGTGACTTGGCCGATTTCTTTAGGTTCATGGCGTAACCGCAGACACAAAGAAGATCTTTTAGCCAACAATTTCCGGTCTTGCAGATATCCAACACAAGGTCCTCCTTCAAGTTGTGATAAAAATGACCGTATCCAAGACGGGTGTGACATATTTAGCGCACAAAAATGATTGGACATATAAACCAATTGAGGTTATTAGATATAATGTTGATCCATGCACCTTATACATTTTTAAGTTGTATATTTACCAGAAAAATTTTCCATGGAAAACTTATTTAAGATTTCAAAGAAATAAAACGGTTTACCTGGGATTGACGTTCGGTTAGGTCTACCATTAACAACAAATCATGTATATATACATTATTTGTACTTTAAATTAAAATAATTATTCTCTAAGTGACCTAATGTAAAAATGATATCAGTTTAAGTTATATAACGCAATGGTAAAATATAGAATAATGTGTACAAGAAAAATGAACAAAGAGGTAGCGTTTTATGCAGTTAGGTAGCTTTATTTTAGTCAGTATAAAATTTATTATTTTTTCCGCCATGCAGGCCAATTTGCAGGTTTCATTGCAAAGTATAATGATTTCAATGTTTCAGAAATTCTTCCTTAAATAATGGGTAAATATTTATCTTGGTTAATTTAGTTCATTTTAAGTTACGATTTTCACTGAAATGCTGCGGAATACCAGATATTTTTTAAAGTGCGCGTTCACCTATAATGACGTTAGTAACGCAGTCCACCATTGAAACGGCGGGTACTGAATTTCGGCGTCCTAGACTATCCTTAAGCTTACCGACCATTTTTTGGTCCTCTTGTTTATCGCGCGTAAACATCAAATTCCAGAACGTGAGGAGGTCTTTGCCTGAAACGTGTGCTGGTAGTGGCGTGTTCTGTCCTGAGACTGACTCGTATACGAAATGGTTTCTTTCCCCGTCTGACCGTTTCGGAGTTATCTGGAATTAGAGAGAGGAAAATAATTGTCGCAGTTTCTGTTTCTTTGGGGTTATCGTGAGGTATCATTAACAAAAGTGTAGGGACTACGATTGTACGAAGAAAAGGAGCAATCCGTGAGGATGTTTTCTGTTCATATTTTCTTTACAATGAACTGAGTCCAAATGTGATATTTCTTTGTTTTACTTCTGCTTGTTTGACTGAGCACGGTTTTCCGCTCAGCTGTATATATAAGCTGGGTCCAGTTCAAACCCACGCAACATGTGTGACACGCTTTCGCTTTACTATTGCATTTATCGCTCGCATTGTTTAGCGTCACCTCCGCAAGTAATTGATACTATCTAGTACCGCGATACTCNACATCTGCGACTACCGCAAGTGTTTTGTCTGTCTCCGGCAACGAGACACTAGGTGGCGCGCAATTTGAGATTCGTAAGAAGACTTATCGGTAAGCTGTCAACAACGGTTACCTTTATATATCTGTAAAAATTGAGCTCCACAATTGCCCCAACTCACGCCTAAAGGTTTGCATCGAATGACATGAGTCTACTGTTACCAGTAGTTGATTCCGGGCTGGGACAGTCTTATTTGAGAAGAAGTGGTACTTGATTTGCAGTCGGCTTCTTGATTGCTCCAGGGTGTATAGATGCCCACTGGGACCTCTTTATTCCCTCAGGCGGAACATCTAAGCCATTGAAGAATCGTTGAGGTTCCTAGATATTAAGAACATCTCAATCAGATCTCCTCGTAGTCTGCGTCTTTCGAGGAAGAAGAAATTTATTTTAAAGAGTGTTTCTCTGTAGCTCAGCTGCTTCATTCCCCATACCATTCTGGTAGCGAGGTTTCGGACTTACTCCAGTCTCCGAATACCCTTACGGAAAAAAGCGACCCACGCTTGAACACAATGTTCAAGATGTGGACGAACGAGTGCTGCGTATAACTGGAAGAGGACTACAGCGCTTCTGTTCGTTATGGTGGTTTTAGGACAGAATAATGCCTTACAGGCCATTATAGGGTAAGCGTGCAGCATCCAAAATCGGTTTTCTTCAAAAAATTCAAAGCCATTTGATCAGTCCCCATTATCGAAGCCGTAAACAAAATCCCAACTGGAGACACCTGTGGTTCAAAAATTATTTCGCTTATTAAAACCCTAAACATAATGCCAGATTCTATCCCCCAGCCGACAACCAAAAAATTGGAGGGAATTTTATTTGGCAATAAATAATAAAATAGTTATTGATTACTATGTATGAACTTATTCTCACTAAGAAAATGTATCCAAACTCAGTAGAACTGAACGACAGTTGCCCGACCCCAGGGAAAATTCGCAAAAATATACTAACTAATCATAAGTAACATGATCTCGCAGACACCACTTTTATAACAGAATAGCAGTGATTATAAAAAATTCAATAAAGTAAAAAATGCTTCGAAAGTATGTATATGCACCCTAGTCGATGGAATAGCGCTCACTGATATTTTGAAAAAAGTTTCTATGTTCATTTCAATGTTTGAGGGAAAGAAATAAAACCATTGGCGGTGCTGAATGTCTTCCACCTCCGGTCCTCAATGGAGCCGAAAACTGCCGTCATTCTCCTCTTTATTCTACTGCAATATCCTTCCACGTTGGTTGTGTGGACAACTGTTGCTTGGTCAATGAATCCTCGGAAATGATTCACCGTCAAGCAAGTGTATCCCAAGGACGACTTATCGGATTAAATGAGGGATTCCGGCAGAATTCATCACTGGATTATTGGCAAATGGGCGCTTGCCGATCGGTTGTCCACCTTTTCGAAGGATTCCTTTTCCTTCAAAAAGGACATACTGAAACAGTTTTGAATGGTACCACTATACCATTGTCTTTTGGGACAAACGACACATGCTACTGGCAAGCACGACGGGGATTTCCAGTACAAAATATGATATCAACTCCACTAGTAGGCACATTGATATATTCGAATGGTCAAAGAATGTTCCCTTTCGGAGGGAAATGGTTTTCGTGTACAAAAACAAATTGAGGAAATCGGATTTAATGGTAACACATGCACGTTTTACTTCTTTATATTAAATATATCGCTCTCTGTATCGGCAATCCGAACAACGTTCAATACGAATCGTAATGTCTTGATTTGACTGACCAAATTTCCAGCACGTAAGAAACAATCGAAATTTCGTTTCTATTATAGGCATAAATCAATAAATATATGCGACTTAATAAACCGTCGTAGGTTCCAGTTACAGAACGACAAACAATGGAGGAATTCATCGAGTGAGACCGCAAAGATACTCTAGTATTCAGAATAGGAATCGAAATCAAATAGCGCGAACTCGGTATTGGACTGAAAACGCACTGAATAGCGCAAAGCCAGGTAGAACCAAAGCGTGCTGTAGATACAGCTAATTCCATTAGGAATATCATGGAAATATATATTACAAGCAACAAACAATCATTGGTCGATTCTTGAATGTCCAATCGACGAGGCTATGGTTTATCTGTTTGCCTTCTTGCACTCATCCAATCCGGATGATGCCAATTGAGACCACAGGGTTGGTCGGTTATCCCGCTTCTTGATTGGTTGCCTGGAAGCTATACCGCGGTGCGTGCGTACTCGTTACACGATCACCACAACTTTCTTCCATCAACATTGCCTCATCAATTTGACTTACTTTTCGTTGTGATCTCCTCAGTTTTGCGCTGGTTGAGGCTTCCGATTCCGCCGGTTTTACCGCATCTTAGTGTTCAACATCATGACATTGAGGAACCGTTGTGTCCGATTTAGGCAGTTCAGAATTGGTAGGGTTATCCTCTTTATCATGGGGTTCCGATGCACTGACAGTTCGTTCGTCTCTGAAGTGTATCTGGTCGATGTGCCGTCGGTGGACCGATGCATCTGTCAAATCGGTTATCTCCACCATTGACTGACCCAAGTTTCTAGTGAGGATGCCACGAACCGGGCGCAGATGTTTGCCCCTGAAGTATTTCACATCAGTAGAATCCATACATTCCAGGGAAGATCTCAGGCACCGTGACTTAAACACCTTTGCCGGACTTTCCTTGGTAGTCGCATGTGTCGCGTTCCGGTATTGCAGTAGGAAGTTATCCAGAAACGCCTCCAAGTATGCAAGTGATTTTGAATTCGCGGATGCCATTGCACTCTTGACTGTTTTCACAAGATACTCAGCCTGATCATTCGAACAGGGATGTCTTGGGGCTGTACGTAAATGTCGACATCCAATGCTATCGAGCCAAGCTTTCATCTCCGTGGAGCTGAATTGAGATCCATTGTCTGTGACGAGCACTTGTGGTCTAACTTCTCGGCTGAAGCACTTCCGAAGAGCCTGGATCACAAAGGATGTTGTTGGCATACTTGTCAGAAACATTTCCGGCCAATTTGAATAGGAATAAATGAGAACCAAGGCAAAGTATCTATTCAGAAAGGTAGTGGCGTGGCATCCCAACTATTAGGATTTCTAAAAACGATCGATTTTTAAATGTATTTTAAAAAAAGCGATGTCGAATTCAGCCGAAATGGAACAGATTTTGCTTTTGGCTGATTCTGAGTGATTTGGGATAAATTTAATTTTAATTAACCCTAATTGACTTTGTCCGGAGAGTATAAATACCGCAACCCAATTCCGACGACCGCTTTTACGCTCGTACTAACGAAACGGTCGTTTTTGAACGGATAGCGGAAATTTACTGTGGATCGCTGGACGGATTCTTGGAGGACTTCCATGAATTCCAAAGCGTTACTTGCACTTCCTTCTACGTTTATGGGTCATTGACAGCCCAGCAACTGATACGGGAAAGAAAGTTTTGTCAAAAACTGATTCTGCATGAGGGTTTTTCGTACCATTTCATCAAATGTTGCTGTGTACGTCACAGAAGACGCGGCGCAACTGCAATCAGGTAATTATGCTTCTCATTTGTAATGTTATTAACCTATTTTAGGCTGTAAAATATCGATTGTCCGGTATTCGTTGGAATTCTCGCGGTCAGGAGGGAATACCGATTGATGAAACGTTGTCTGATGCACAACCATGAATTACATGTGGGTCAGCGGGATTTCCATAAGTATTCGTCATCTACCTGAAGAACAGGAAGGGGAAGTGTGCACTTTGATGTAAAATTTTAGAAGTACTCGCGAGCTAAAGGATTTCCCCACACAAGTTCCAGAGACCCTTAACTACGGCAGATAAAAGATCCATACGTCGAAGAAGGTCTCAGTCGGATTCACTTAGAAATGCGGTGAAAGTTCGGGATATGCTAGAGTATCGGAGAGAAGTTAGGATAGGGCTGAACGAAGGCGTCGTTCGTCACATTTTCTCTGTTCCTGAGATAATGCTCCACTGCGTCCCCAGGGTTATTGATATTTTGTTGGTGGAAGCCACGCATTAGCTAAACTGTGGCGAGTACGTGCTTTGGCATGCTATGCTTTTAAACGACCGGTTTAAGTAGTTTCTTCTACGCTACCTTACCGAATGAGAGCGGTGAGAGCTATCGAACTGCCGTGGGATCCATGAGGGCAATGTGCCCAGTCTTTGCACAATGCTAGACTATAGTAGTTGATCGTAGCTTGGCTAGGTACAAAGCGTTTTCAGAATACTTTCTGTCCTCTGATGTGATATTTTGTCGATTCAACTCGTCTTCGACACCCATCGGCA